ATCTCCAATGTAGCAAGTGTAATAAAAGTATTGAGTGCTCCAACTCTCCCCACACTCTTATATACCAGTGTAACCTGTAATTAGATATAGAGTAGAACCCGCCTGAAGGTACGCCAGAAAGACGGGCCTGAGAAGACCCCCGGAACAAACTTGTAGATCATTAAAAAAAAAACAACTTGTGGATCATTGAATAAGCTTGTAATGAATAAACATGTAATGGAAAAACTAGTAATAGATCAACTTGTATTAGTTAAACTGAACTGACAAACTTGATGTGGAAACTTGTTATACTAGCCCTGAAATGACAAACTTGAAATGATAAACACGAACTGTGAATGGAGGTTTACCCCTCCCTTTTTCCTACATATTGAAAAAAAAAAAACTCAGGAGCTGAAATACTTGAACTAGCTGGGTAGAAGGAACTGTAGCAGCTGACACTGCTTCTGAAACTACTGATTCTTTTGCTATGTTGGACTTTGAATTACGAACTGCAGCATAAAAAGACTGAGATAAAACCATTCACTTTCCACTTCCACACAGGCACAGCAAAGTAAAATAAAACAATCTCTGATGGTCTATCTCTCTCAGTAGCTGCAGTCAAAATCTCTGGAAAAAGTCCAGCTTGTTGTTTTACATCTCCTTTTTTTTCCATTAGTCAGTGGTCATTTGATCGTTGATTAAAAATTTTATGTAGTAGTTGTCCACTAACTATTAATCATCTTTTTCCACCTCTTGATTGTACAGAATATATAGCCCACTGGATTGGGAACACCGCCTTTCCATCGTGGCAAATTAAGCTGCTTATTTACTCCCATAAAAAAATTGCTTCTTCCTTGTTTAATTCCTAATTTTTTCCTGGTGTCAGAGATGGAACTCTGAATCACAAATTAAACAATGCTTTCCATTGTGAGAATCGTTTGTTTTGTGATTCTGTCATATGGTGATTCAGAGTTAAGAAAGTTAGACGATCTAGTGATCATCCCAACTTATCCCGCAAATAGCAGTTGAGAATAAACCAAATCTACAAGTTAACAACAATTTAATTTACTTGAATACTTCAAGCACCATAACTAAGGTTGTTAGATTGACTATGTACTCCAGGACACCCATCACATCTTCATATCGATAAACTTCATAAAAATACCTTGACACAGTTTTATCCAGGAAGAAGATCATTAATCGTATCCTGAAGGAGCCACTTTGATTAGTTAATTGACCTTACGTCAGCAGCACATGAATGTTACATAATACATGGAAGTATATTTCATGTGATACTCATCTGCAAGAAGAAACAATATCTGTCCAGCAAAATATGGTGGGACTAGCAACTTTAATCACAATAGTGCCATGGGTGCTATTAGTCTAGCAAGTCGCCGGTCGTTTCTTAAAAAATACAAATGTTTTAACATTGCTCGTTTTTGCGTTGACCTTCCGTAAGTCCATTTCCTTTAGTATCGCAGGTGATAGACTATCCTTTTATTTTCTCAGTTCAGTTCAGCTGTGGTTATGACAAGTAGCAGTGCCAATGCTCGATCTGCTGTATATACATTTTTACCACTCTGATAAATGCTTTGATTTTGTGTGTTACTGGATCCCTTCTTATGTTAGAAATGTTCAAATCAAATACGATTCCCTCCCCGCTCCCCCAGACGTCTTGTATTTTGTAACACAAAGTGCTTTAACTGTTAAAACCACATGTAGATCTTTTGGGATGTAGAACAGAATACATGGAACACTCAAGATGTAACCAGATAAAACAATACTCATTGAACACTAAGGGATTTTTCTTTCAATAAACATTGTCTTTTGAGACAACCATTTTTTTTTTTGCCACTGGGAGGTTTTTGCTAAAGAAACTCCGTAGAGAATAATTTTCATAGTATGAATATATCATGCTCCTGGTCTTGGCTGTTTTTCAAATGAAGCTTGACTTACAATGTTCTTTTAATTGATATGAATATAAGCAAAGGAAATCGCAAGGCATCCAGCAATCTATTTATAAAAGAGTCTACAAAAGAACATTATGCATGTAAAAAGGATTCAACATTACCTTCCTTGGGTACCATGCATTAACTAGCACTCATGCTGCACATGGTTTTCTTCAGAGAGAATATCTTTAAAAGTACACTCATTGTTTCAAATGGAAACACGTGTTTCAAAGACCTTCTACTAGCAAGAAAAATATGGCGTGACTGAAGGATGTAAATACTAAAATCAGCATGCGGGACATGTACTGTTAGTTTTGAAAATATGCTTCTTTATGAACAGAGCCCAATATACTAGTGGAAATTAAACAATAGATACAATCAATATAGGAAAAAGAAACAAAATATTTACATAATAACGCCCTGCAACATACTAGTCACAACAAGGTCCAGTCATATTGTAGAAGATAATGATAAAAGTAAGGAAAATTATGTCTCACTCTGTTGGACTGTGGGGGCTGCCTGGGGGGGGGTCTGAGCATGCCGGACTGAAGCAACAATTCAGGCGAACACCCCTCCACCCTTTCCCTCTACCTTTCCCCCTCACACTTTCTTATTTTCCTCCCAATCCTCCCTCTCTGATTTATGACGTCCACTACATATTCGCTCTCCCTCTCAAAGTGGTTCCTCACAAATGCTCACCTACCAGGCCACACACACGGGTTGGTAACTCACAAAGGGTGCAGGTAGCTGTGGTTTACTCTGAGAAAGCCTAGCCACAGGCTCCAGTGTCGACGCCTCAGGGACTAGATCCAATAGCAAACTGGGTGAAGGTCAGGGGGCAGGGAACAGGCGAACATGAGTAGGGTGGACGATCCCATACCGGGGAGTAGGATTTTAGCATGTATAGTATACATGAAGGTTCCGTGCACAAGGGAGATACATGCCTAAGTGACACGCCAAGCAGAAACAATGCCCTTGAACACGTACGATAATACCTGTAGACCTGTAGCCCTTTTATTGCAGATCCAAATTGGGAACCACAGGTGAGTAGTAATGCTCACTGTAGGGAGGACTGACCTACTTCTGTAACTGATTCTCACCTGTATACGATGACTGTATGTTGCATTACATTTGAGAAAATTTCAATAAAAAATTGAATTTGTAAAAAAAAATGATGTCTCACTACTCTGACTTTATTAATCTATCGTGCCTTTGAGAGATCATCTTTAAAAACAAGAGAGCTCTTATTTCTACCAAAGTGATTAGGATATCATTATTATATGTATATTTAAACAATGCCCTTCAATTTCCTTAATTAGTTCACTAAGTACACTTGCTAAATTATAGTAGTCCTACATCTATAGTAACCTCATAAAGGATAGTGGGGAGTTAGTATCCAAGGGAATCAGGGCCGGAGCTACCCTAAGGTGGCACAGGCAGCCACCTTACGACACACTGGCCCTTGGGCACAGATGTCCAGGTGACCGTTTGGTTTGCTTGGAAAGGAACTCAGTTGCAGTGGAACGGCAACCCTTTGCAAACAGAACCCTCCCAGGTTCCTGAGAGTGATACAGGAACCTGGGAGATCTGTGAGGTGACATATGCCTTTATTTACAGAGAAAAAAGAGAAGCCAGAAAGGAGCAGGCAAGAAGTGGTGTCAGCTGGTCTGATGGTCAGGACTGGCCACAAAGAAGCAAGGTCAAGGGTCAAGCCAAAGTCAGAAGCCAGGAGATCCATGAATAGCAGGATATCAGGAGCCAAGGATCGGAGACAAGAAGTGTGGTCAGGGTCAAGCCGACGGTCAGAAGCCAGGACATCCACAAATAGTAGGATATCAGAAGCCAAGGGTCGGAGACAAGAAGCATGGTCAGGGTCAAGCCAGAAGTCAGAAGTCAAGAAGTATTACCGGTAAGACTCACATGTCAGTACTCTTCCTTGCTATAATTCAGATTAATAAAGCCAGAATAGTGAGACATCCTTTTTCCTCACTTCTATCATTAGCTTCTACCACATGAGTGTACATTGTTGGGAATATAATGTTGCAATGGATTAGTATGCAAATGCTTTACTTCTTTTTTTCTATGTTAATTGTATCTACTGTTTAATTTTTTCTAGTATCTTGGGTTCTGTTAGAATTAATAAACTTATTAGGATCATGTCCTGTGCCAGGTCTTATTCTGGCTGGACTACAGTCAACTAATAAGGTTATAAAGTGCCGTTTAGACAGTTTTCAATGGTATTGGACCATGCCACTTATTAATTTTGGTTATATTTCATTTTATTTCTCCCTTTTTTGGTAATCTTTAAAGAGAGTATTCAAAGAGGCCCTTAAAGCTACCCAGTAACAATAGCAGTTTTGGTTCTCTTGTGCACTTTTAGTAAGGAGTTTAACAAACTTTGTGGGATTTTGAATACTATGAAAAAGTGCTTCTTGTTTTTACTAAGCAATAGTATTTTTGGACATTGAAGAAAATTAATGTCTTTCTCTTGGTTATTGTAACATAAAACTTCTATATTGTGCTAAAAACATAGATTAAGGATATATATATTTGTGTACGGGATTATGGAAGGGGGCGTACATTTAAAGAGAGTGTTATTTTTTGATAAATGAGAGTAGGTTGAGGTGTGCCGAAACCGACGAGAGGTTAGGCCTGTAAAAAGAGGGCCCACCTGGAATTACTGATATGAAAAGAGGTTGTGGAGGGGGGATTTCCAGAATCGACAAAGACAGGTAAGCCTGGGGTTTGTTGGGTTTATATAGGCTTAAATCCATCCCACAACTACAGGCATACGCCTTCTATATATATTACACAAGATCCAGCGCACTCACTCATCCACAAAACAGCAGCTGCAAAGCTTGCAGATGGTATTACCCGCATTTTCCGGCGTATTAGACGACTGGTCGTATAAGACGAACCCCAACTTTTCCAGTTAAAATATAGAGTTTGGAAATTACTCACCATATAAGACTACCCCTCTTCCAACGCACACCAAATAAAAAGATTTGATTTCAATATGGTAATTTTAATTCAAATGCTTATGACATGCAGGTACTTAGCAGGAAAACTGTCACTTATAAACATAAGGCTGTTTGTCATCAAACATGTAAACATAAAACAGTGCAAGTGGATTAAACTTTTCCTAATTCACTCTAAAGCTGAAAGGAAGGATAAGACAATAAACCCATGGGAGCTGCCATGCTGTTTGTTTTCTAAGCTGTGAACCAACCTGGAACTGATGATGATAGGGGGAAGATAGCAAACAATAGAGAGAGAGCAAGTCCCTGGCGAGTTAGCAACGCCCATCATAACTGCAAGCCACTGTATTTTTACAGGTTTTGCTGGCGTGACAGTTTCCCTTTAAAAGCCTTCAAAATCCTCCTGTTCGTCATCTGATATCATAAGTACATCAATGACATCTTGTGATACATTTGTAAGGCAGTCATCATATGGATCGAATTCTGTATCAGATGGTGTGGTCTCAGCTTCGGCTTCCTCTTCGTCTTGCCACAAGTAGTCGTCCTCCATACCATCTAATGAATTTGATATGCCACACTTCTTGAAAGACTTGATTACTGTTTCTGCATCAATATCATTCCAGGCTTTTATGACAAACTTAAAACATCCAACTGTGGAGAACGCATGTTTCCTCCTTTTGTGAATGATTTTTCGCTGCTAACCATACATTCATTCCACTGTTAAATGGCTTGTTTAGGCACACATCCAGTGGCTGTACCAACGATGTCAATCCTGCAGGAATAACTGCCGCATCTGTGTTTAGTCTTGCAAGCCTTTGCTTGGTGCTGGGAGTTAAATGAGCCCTAAACATATCCCACACCAGTAGACTACGTTTTTAAAGAAGTCCACCTGGTCGCCTGCTCCATACATTATCAAGCCATAGCTTTACCCCTTCTTCATCCATCCAGTCTTTTTCATTCGCATGTACAACACAACCAACAGGGAACTTGAGTTTCAGCATTGTTAATCATTGGTCTCAGTTTGGCGCCATCAGCTGTGCATCCTAGTACCACTGTAAAACTCGACTTCTCATGTCCTGTTGTTTTAATTAAAATAGTTTTTTTCACCTTTTTGATGGACAGTTTTATTTCCAACCATATCAAAATTTATTGGAGTTTCATCCATATTTCCAATACTACTTAACGCATAGTCATGTTTAGTGCGCTGCTGTATTACGTATCGATGGAAACTATGTACTTTGCTATCAAGATCTGCAGTTAATTTCTGGGCAATTTTCGTCTTTTGCCTCAGTACTATATTATGCCTTCCCATGAATCTAGTACACCAGGATACAGTGGCCTTAAATCTGTTGCTGTGATCTGGCTTAGATTTGGCCCACTGAAGTGCAAACAAATTTATTTTATTTTGTGTCACTACATAACCGTTTTGGCGATGCTCATTCACCATGTCTGCTACATGTTTTTCCAGTTCCGGCCAATGTGGGGTGCCTCTTCTTAATGCACACTTACCCCTTGGCATACTCTTTAATGCTTTTTCATTTGCTTTCCAATCCTGAACCATCTTTTCTGTTACTCCATATTGTCTTGCAGCAGCGCAGTTATTATGTTCCATGGCAAAGTTTACAACTTTAAGTTTGAAACTGGCTTCATATTTCTTTCTTCTTGCTGGTGGAGCCATGATGGGGTTTTGACTGTTGGACATTTGTATACTGTACTGTATGTACTGTATTTACTGTATGTACTGTATGTACTGTATTTACTGTACTGGTACTGTACTGTATGAACAGGTACAGATACTGGTGCTGTACTGTATGGACAGGTACAGATACTGGTGCTGAACTGAATGTGGTACCCAGTATAACCAAAACAGAGCTGACCAAAACAACCAGTCAATCACGGCAAGTGATGTACCTTACTGGCGATTGGCTGGTTGGATTGGTCAGCTCTCCTTGCCTGACCAGCCCTCCCTGTCTCCAAGACTATGGCAAACACACCTCTTTCACTCGTCTGGCCCGCCCTTATATCCTATTACCGTACCTCCTTCTCTGCCTCTCAGATCTC